TAGGGTTCGAAGCCACCCAATCGAGACAAACCAACATTTAGCAGGAGGGGATGAGGTAATGGTGACTTTTTATCTAATGGGGTGACATCACCACTGTGGCATTCTTTGTCGCTATGGAGACGGCGAGGGGAGGATAGTGAGAGGCAAGCTCTGGGCACAGAAAGGGGGTGCGTGGGAATGGTACGACTGATTGTGTCTGCGCCGGGTTTGTTCATGTGTAAATGATCAAACCAGCTCGGTTCTCAAACCTGGCCTCATAAATATGCACTGGGTTTGTAGATGATCACACACCTGTCACACAGGTAAATTTGCCTCCCTCAGATATCCTGTAATTTCCAGAAAAAAAAAATCAGATGTGGAAATTTGGCTCGGGTCCAGGAATCCCAGTTTATTTATGTCTCTTCTGAGGGGGGAAGACGGGGGTCTCCCCGAGACAGTCTGCCATTTCCTGAGCTCGACTTTCACCCGTCTGAGTGTGTGTGTATGTGTGTGTGTGTTTGTGTGAGAGAAAGAGAAAGAAAGAAATAGAGAGAGAGAAGGAGGGAGAGAGAGAGAAAAAACCCTGTCTTTCCTGGAGGCTTCTTTCTCTTTGTCGGTGAGGATTTCAGCTTAGCGTGGACTGAACATTCTGGCTGTTTCATTCTGCAGTCATGTTCGTTTGTGTCACCATCAGACTCAACGTCCAACTGTCCGATTCATCCTGCCTCCCTTGGTGAAAGGCCGGGCTGTGCATCTTATTGATCAGATCTGAGCTTTTCTGCTGTCTTTGCAGAGAAACGTAAGAAGCATGTCCTCCTGAGCCTGGAGGAGATGATGGAGGAGTTAATAATTAATGAAGGGATGCACATGTGTGAGGGTGTGTGTTGAAGACTAGCTGTTCCTCGTAAATCTTTCAGCCTCGCATCTGTCAGCTAGTAATGATCCGACTACACCTATCTACCGGGAAACGAAGACTGCTTCCCTTTCACCCGTCCTGTTTCCTTTAGCCGCCTCACCCACACACCTTTTAATGAACCACAGTTCCATGTCCACACCCACACATGCATTAACACTCCGAAAAGGCTGACCAGACGGATATGGTAAGCAGGGTTTGTGTGTGAGAGTCTGATTAGAATTCATTTCATCTTGAGGCGCCAGAAAAATAACACAGTAATCGGATAACGGATTAAGTGTGTTGAGAATTTTCTGGCAAAAATGGCAAGGAAAAAAATCTGTTTCTTTCGTTATTTAATAGAAAAGTGTAAAAGTGGAATGAACTAAACAATTGTATATGGATTTTGTAAATCTTTTTTAACTTGTCTGTTTGATCTAATTATGTATATTTTGTCGACCTCTAATGTTCTCATAAAGAGAAGAAAAGGAAGACGGAATGCATTGTAATTCTATTATTCCAGTCAAATCGATGAGCAAAACCTTTCTTGGAATTACATTTGCTCTTGACCCCCACACAAGCATCACTGAGAAGTGTTAAATCTCCCTGCCTGATGTTTCCTTTGTACCATGTTATTCATATGTCAGCACCCAGTCAGAGTTATCTCTGTTTGGAAAGCTAGACTAAACTGAGGCACATTGCAGAGACTGTGTAAGTAAATGTGATAGCACTGGGCAGAAACCAGATTATTATGGACTCCAATCGAGGACAGTGAGAGGTCACGTACAAGGCTGCCTCCTTTTGACATGTAAAGGGAATTTATTACCCTCCTCGACACTTTCAGCTAATTCCTTCAGGGCTTTTATCAGGGGGGAGGCATTTGCAGTTTTCCTAACTCGTCTCTCTTTATCTAAGCCTCTTTGTCATTGGTTGCTTCCTGCCCTCTGGGATCCAGCTGGATTTTGTGGTGTTTGAGGGTTATTTATGTCTGAGCTGCATGCGAGAGTCTTTCTTTGTCCAAGTGATTTTCTGTGTATCCGACGCTTTAATGCCACTTATGTTATAGATGTCATCATCTTACTTCCAAATTCACTTTTTTCTCTTTTTTTCCAAGTTTTGCAGTACAACCAGAATCTTTTCCATTTATGTACAGGGAGGTGTCAGAGCTTGGCCAAATGTGAGACTGTCGGACTTTCATCCGGGTACATTTTTGGAGCATCATGCAAAGTCTCCCTGTGACTCTTTCAGACTGGTAATCCTCTTACACGTCTGTGCCAAAGCGCACACAAGCACTGTCGCACAAAACTGAGTTCAAAAGCACACATGATTGACACACTAACCGCTATCTTGAACTGGGCCTCTCCTTTTTGGAGTCATTTTTTTCCCTCCCACGAGTCTTGTGTTGTAACTCAGCTTAGCTGCTTGTCTGCTTTACCTCGGAGATAAGACTCTCCTCCAGTAGGCAGAAATGTGAAATCTTTCTCTGGGCTTTTTACTCCCAGTTCTGCATAGAGACATTTCTGTGAACAGAGTATTTAAATCCCTCCAGCCTGTGAATGGGTGTGACTTTGCCATAGCAGGGATTTGGAGGAAAACGGAATAACTGAGCGGCACAGAACCAGGGCAGCTGAGTGGCTGTTTCCCCAGCCCAGTGCTGTGGACCTCTTCTGTAAGCCTTGACCCAGTTCAAGGCCCCCCCCCCCCCCCACTCCGTTCACCCAAACATGCAGCATAAAGTAGCAGCACTGCAACAATCTGCTGAGCTGCAGAGAAGCTCCATGTGCAGACGCCGGGGAGACTTCCTAATGAATAAATTGCATGTGTGTCTAGATGCGCCTCAAGGTCATTCAAGGTTGGTGTGTGTGCATTTTAAAAAAGATGCAAGGCTCCAGGCAAAGTCATAAAGGTTTGCATCTTTTTAAACATATTATTTGTCTGTTCCAAAGTCTAAAACCCATACATTTTACATTTAGAATTAAATAAGAAGGTAAACAAGACCTCTTCAGAACTCAACATGCTTGGAAAGCAGGTAAATCCCAATCAGAATACTAGATAGTAATAAGCTATTATAGCTTTCATGCTTTGAGCTTGTCGATGTAATGCTATCATTTAAAATTCCCATATTAAATTAATTCCAAGTTTGAACTTGAGCTGTCTCTAAAAATGCCAGATGAAATAATGAATGAATACATTCCAACCTTTTTTGTTGCATAGCATTGCAAATACTGCAAAAAGTCAACCAACATATAATTTTTATTTCCTGTGGATAGACTGTTGTACAGTATTCGTATTGCCAAAATAAATCCCCTTGCTAACACTAGGGCTGAAAAAATGACACGAAATTTAGCACGTCACAGGTAAATGTCTGTAGAAATGGTAGTTGTGATATTTTGGATATTATTGTGCTCCAGTCCTTGAAGCCATGCTTGCTCTGTTATACTTTTAGAACGAGCCAACATTGCAAAACAGATAACGACAGTCCATGGGGAAAGAGTGGACCGTTAGTCATGGATGATAGACATGGAGTTTGATATAAAAAGATCAAGCGCACACAAGCCTCTGCAAAAGTCAGCACTGGACTGACTAATGTGCACAACTGTACGTTACAGGAAGATCAGCACACATTTTGCCTCATGACTGTGTTGGTCAAAACATGCGCCTACCTGCATGAGACAGTAATGGAGGCGTACACAGAGACATCATTTTTTCATTATTCTTCCTGTTTTTGGGGGTTGATAGTGCCGAGATGTGTTCATTAAAAGCCTCGGAGCGATATGAGATTGTCATCTTTGTTTTGCTGTGGAAATGTCTTATCGCCAAGCAGTTACCGCACTCTTGTTTTCAAACTAAAAATCAATTTCAAACTAAAATCAGGCTGCTTCATGTTATTTCCATTGTGAAGTAACTTGAAAGATGTGTGTATTTCCCACACTCTGTGGTGTTATCACTCTGTCTGTCTTCTGGTCTTTGTCGTCTACTCTGTGTCTGTGACAGACCAGACACGGCTCATGAGTTTATAACAGATTATTTTGGCTGATTATTTCATTTTGTGTTCCGTTATTTAACTGAAAATGCGCCTTCCGTTATGTCTGAGTGCATTGTCATTTTTTATCTGGGCCTTAGCAACGCTAGCCTTATTTCAGTTGCATCCTGTCTGCTATGCCCACATTTTATTTTAAGTGCTATCAGAAAAAAATGCTTACAAAAAACTTAGCCATTAGCAAGCATTACTTTTCTTATTTAAAAAAAAAAGAAAGAAAAATAGATAAATGGGCATCTATTTAATGGAATAGAAATATGCCTGCATAACTTGGTTAGATTTGCTAGAAGTATCACTCTTTTTGGCATCTGCTAAATAAAGGAAGAGTAAACATCTCCACTCGAGTTGTTTCAGAAAGAATGACTGCATATGTTTGGCTACAAGAAGGAGGGAGTTCTGTAGTTTCAACTCAATATATTCAGGTTTGATTGAGCTTATGTACTGCAGCTGGGTCTGATTCTGTTTAACTGCATTAGCCAAACTATTTTGACATTGGTACAAATGACACTAGAACATACAAAAAGCTCTAAGTAAAGCCACATGTGTCAAAACTTCCCATGATAGAATTAAGCCTTTTTTTCCAATTGCAGCCAACTATTCAATGATATCAGCTGATTATCTATGTAGCCCACAGATTTTGGAATCTATGTTCACATCACATCCACAAAGAAATATAGGTTTAGTTAGAAGGTAGTTTTTTCTTTGCATTATTATTCTGTTTTTCCACTGGATGGTTGTAGCTGTGTGTGATGGAGCCACAAAGGGACTTATTGTTGCCTTGAAAACTGTGATTTGTGGCTCTTCAGGGTGTAATTAGGAGGTTTAAAGTTCGGTTCACAGACTATAATATGATCTCTCAACTCTTGTTGGTTGTGACGTGCTCACGGAGGGAAACACTAATATTTAGCTCCATACATGTGTTAAAGGTCACTTACACAGTCAGTAATCAGTTATTCACCTCAGAATGAAATTATTATTCCAATTTTATAAGATAAGCTTTCTGTAATTGCTGCTGGTATGTCTGGAATGATAGGATCTTAATAAAAAATTCTAATGTATAGATTTTTTGCATCTCTTTTTGTCTCTCAGGTGTTGTGAGTGCAACGCCTCACTGTCCCACTGGTATTATGAAAAGGATGGACGGCTGTTCTGCAAGAGGGACTACTGGGCCAAATTTGGGGAGCTGTGCCACGGCTGCAATGATCCAATCACCACCGGCCTCATCATGGTAAGCGGATCTACCCGCAAACTCATCTCTCCTCACCCCCACCGGCTCATTGTTTGCCGATAAAACTCGAGTTTCACCCTGCAACCGTGACAGTCCGAGCTGGCAGATTTACAGACACACCTGAGTCCAGACATGTACCGTCTGCCCCAGCTGTCGCTGGCCAAGAAACGAGGACGCGCACGGGATCCATGCCAGACCCGTAACTGACCCTGACGCCATTGGCTGATCTGACAGATTGTCTTTCGGACCACTGGTGAAAGTCCGAGCCATTGTTGAGAAAGAGGAGAGGGTCAAGTGCGCGATAGATGTGGTCCCAGTGGCTGCAACAGAAAAACACAGCGAACAAAGTGCTGCTGCATTATACAGACGACCAGCATCTCAGGAGAGTCCTGTCTATTTGTTGATTAAGGAATGAGTGGCACACATCCAAAGCTCGAGGAAAGCCATAAATAATGCATGTTGGTGTAATGAAATGTGCTTTCACTTTGCCTCTGTTCCTCGTGTTTCTCCAATTGTTCTCAAAAGCAGATGTAGTGACAGTTACATTTAGCGGTCTGTCGTGTGCCTTTTTGGTGGTGTCAGGGCCTCAAATGCCCCTCTGCAGCGGAGATGTGAGAGTAGCAGTCGTTTGAGTTCAGCTGACCTGTTTTTCTGTGCATATCAGAGCAAAGCAAAACATCTCTCCAAAAAAAGGATAAAGTGGGAGAAAATCCAGTTTGCCACTCGGGTAGAAATGGAAAATATCTGTGATGGTAGCACGTATGGAAACACATGAGCTGTGACGGAGGCAGTTTTGTGGAAAGCCGTGGGCTCTCTGCTTTGCATGGAGATTTTATGACAGGAAAATGATCCACACGAAACACCAGCTGATGATCAAAAGCTGCAGTAAAAGGTTTGAGAACGCTTTAAAGGGGGATTTAACTTGTATGGTGTCAGTTTGTGCTTGTGTGTAATTATAGTCTTTAAGTCCACTTCACAGTTTTATTACAGACACCGTATCAGTACTTTGCTAAATTGATATTTAACTTCCCCTTTAAAGCCGCCAGTAAGCCGGTGGCAATCTAATGACTGTTGTTGTGCATCAGAGGCTGGGTAAAGTGGAAAGCTGAGTTCATTCTGCGCAAATCAAGATTCAGGTCTGACACATTTGTTTCTTGATAGGACCCTAAAGTCAGCATAAGGGCTACAGTGAGCAGATCATTCATTTCTCTGCCTCTCCTCCATTTATCTCTGACCTTAGTGTGTGTGCTTTGTCATTTGCACCACATTCAGACAGATTACTCTTTGCAGGGGCAATCTCTGTAATGAAACCTGTTGGGGAGTCCAAAGTGAATTGGTTGGAGAGATTGCTGCTTGTCTCCCGTCCTCTGGTTTATTGCTGCTCTTACTTTGCAGAGTCGCTGATAGACTGTCTACACAGTTGCACTTTAACAAATTTAATATTGGCCCGGATGTGGTGCCGGGACGACCAGACCATCTGCATTACTGTCAACATTAGGCACAAGGTCAGCCTCATGTGTCTGCCCCACACTCGGAGGGGAGGATAAGTCCCGCGCAGCCAATCTGACACCTGTGCAGACCGGCAGGGAAACAGTCCTATTTTTATATTCCTCTGGAGCCACGGCACCTAAAACACTGCTGCCACAGTCAGTGAAAACAGCTGAATGATGCAGTGATGAGTCAGAGTCTGCAGATAGTCAGCCTCGGAGATATGAATAAGGAAGAGCTTCATTTGGATTTCATGGGGTTTTGTCACCCCTGGTTCCTCAATGTCCACCATACAAACTCAGTCATACTTTGTGCTTTAAAAAAACAAGTTATTTGCTTGCGATTGTTTGCTCGCAGCTTAACAGGCTTTTTAGTTTTACCACATCCATGCTATGAAGCAGGTTCTTTGGAACGGGAGCCAAATCTGGCCCGTTTAGTCACAATGTGCATTCACAGGCAGTGAATAACAATCACTCCATCAATAAGTTCTCTTTTTGTTTTGTCTTCACATGATTATCGGTCACCTTTACAAAACACAGTTGAGTATTTCGAACAGTGTTTCGTACTTGGACTGTTCAAAAACACTGAGACAAAGAAAACAGAAGATCGATGGTGCAGCCAGGAGGCTTTCATAACAGCCGTTTTTTTGTCCCGGGCAGGACATTCAGAGTATTGGCTAGAGGACACATCAACATCAACACAAATGAGTTTGTTTCATACCGGAGTCTCTCTGGTGTCTGCGGGGGAATTATCCAATAAAGGAAAAACAAAGCTGGAGGCCTTTAAACAGAGGCATCATTCAGGGAACTTTTAGGGTCTTTTTGTCCGTTTTTAGTGACATAGCATAATTTCCTACCCAGCTACCGGAGCTATCCTGTGGATGAGCCCTTGTACAGAATATTTTGTTCTTGCCTGGACTACAGCATCTAATGAACTGTCTGTGTGTGACGTAATTATGTCAGCAGCTTTATCCTTGACTAAACGGGAGGTAAATCAGCCAGAGAAGTGGTTTCCAGTTGTTTACTACCTCAGACTGAGTTTGCTGGTTAATTGAGCTCTCCCCGCTCATCCCTCTTTCTGTCTGTCCATCCATCACACTAGTGACTAACAGTTGAAGCTGCAGTAATCTCAGTCCATTTCACATTCACTTTGAAGGCAGTTTACCTTTCTGCAAGAAACTAATGGCTGAGATCCAGCGAACAGGAGCCTTATCTTCACTGCATGCTGTGATCGGCCTGCTTTCCACACCAGCAACATTAGTTGTGATAAGGGCATTCTTAATGGAGTCAAAGCTAAGTTGCAGTCATAAAGAATCCATGAATGCTGCCCAAATACCTGAAAAAGGTCTCTTTTCATCTTCTGTATTTTGCCTTTGTCATTCCGGTTGTCAGATACATTTTAAGAAGTGTAAAATAGCACAGAGTGCCACTGTTGGCCTAATCTGTCATCACGAGGCAGTCAATTTGGAAGTTTTTTTTTTTTTGTTTTTATGTTCAACCAGTATTTTTTTTCATTTTATATCAGAACTTTACCCCACCCAGCTCTAAAACCCTTCAATGATGCATTGTTGTATCTTCCTTTAATCTCAGACTGCCTTAGTGGTGTCGAAATCACATTCTTTTGACAGCAAACCATCGCTTTCTGGAATTCCCAAACACCCGTATGTCGAGTCCTGTGACTCTTTATTTTTTGTTTCTATGTTTCATCTGTTGTCATTGCATTGTATAAATGTTAGAGTCCTTTCTATTGTCACCAGGTGATATTTAAAAATCTAAACTGACTAACACAGCTGTGATTAGTGAGAGATCCTGACAGTATATTTAATTTCTTCAAAAAAATAGAAATGCGGTTATTTCAGCCCACATATTTTCTGGCCTGTCAGTTTGTGCAAGAACATATCGTCATTCAGTTGTGATTATTCTAAATAAGATATGCAATCTTATCATTTCTGAAATTAAATGGTAAAATAATGTTTGAAAAACTATCTAATTAAGATGTGACACATACACGTGTTACCATCCATTTACACCTATATTGCAGCATTTTTTTCTCATTGTACCTAAAAGAGGAAAGAAGAGCAAAAATCACATTTAGTGGCTGAATAACTCTTGCCCCTCTGTTGTTGTTGTTGTTCACACACAAAGCTCACATTTACAGTTAATCAGGGGGGATTTTTCTGTCCTTGAGTCACCCGACCAGTTATGGATTTCTGTGTGACAGTGAGGTTTTAGTTAAATGCTGTTAGCCAGGCCAGAGTTGTTTGAAATCTTGGGGACTTAGTTTGTTTCACTTTATCTTTCTGTTCCTGCGATCACAAGATGTTCTGAAACAGTTGGAGGTGAAATCCAAGCTGTTTCTCTGAAGCCGCTCACGCTTTGGGAATTTTTGGGGCATTGTACGTTCCCTTTCTGAAAATAATGAAGACGTGTTGTGATGTTACATCATGTGCTCGACCCGCTGTTTTTGTTTTCAGTTCCACTCTGTTGGATGCGCCTCTTAACACTGTGGAGTGTGGAGTCTTACAAAGGTTTAACCATTACAAAAGAATTTAAATCATTTCTAATTAAATCAATGACATTTTGACTTGTTTTTTTTATATACTTTTAACTTTTTTGGAAGCTATTAAAAAGGTTTCTAGATAAAGATACCACACCATAAGCCACACCATAACTGAAACACACATAGTTGTTGAACTTGTGGTTAATATTGAGAAAGTGAGAAAAAATTTTGTTGAGCTTCTGGAAACCCCCAGCTCTACGCTGTTCTCTATCAACTCCCACTGGAATGAGGTAGCCGTTAGTGTCGGCGAATATGCCTGTTTCTGTAAACACCTTCATTTGACCCGTAGGTGAAGACAGACGTTTGTGTAATCGGTGTTGAGAAATGATTTTTGCGTCTGCTCAGGCTGCTGTATGGACAGGAATTCTTCATTGTATCTGTGTCACTGAATCAGCCCCTGTGACTCAGCGCGGTCAAAGAGGAGGCGACCCTGGTGTCATTTTTGTCAGTCACTGTGACAATAAATTAGATTTTGGTCTCCTCAGGATGCTCAAACACTGTAAAAGTCCCCCCCCCCCTTTTTGTGACACTGACAAAGCTGAATAGTTTCATAGTGGGAGCTCAAATTCAGATTTTCAGTATTTCAATTGGAGATCTTCAGCTGACACTGACCTTTAGTTAACTTAATTTACAGACTAAATTGATCATTTCCTTTTCCTGGTGATGAAAGCAGCAGCATCTGTTGGCTGCTGGCTTTTGATGCCTGACCTCGGTGGGAACACGTTTAACTGGACTCACCTTAACACTTCACTCTTAAGTTTGGAAGTTTTCTGCTATTTTCTTTTTTTGTTTTTCTCCAATTTTAAGTGCAGCTCACTCAACTCTCGCTGTAATTTAATCATGTTTAGCCTGCCAGCCGTCTTTCTCTGCAGTCCGTCTCCACCACTTTTATCATAACAACCAGCAGGCAGTACATACAGTGCCCATCTATAAATATCCGCACACTCAGATAGTCCTCGAGGTCTGGTTTTGAGCGAGGACGGGGTCCACGCTTGGTGGCACGGGGCATGTTGGCAATGTGTGATCCAGATCTGTCCTCCACGAGTAAAGACTTTACCCACCCTGCTGAGGCAATCCTAGCAGGCTTAAAAGTAACAAATGATTTATGTTCATCTTTTCCTCATCTCTCTGTTGGCAAGTAAATCTAAAGAAAAGTCTGAGTTGTGTTGGAGGTGTTGAATGTACAATGTGATGGTATAAATTGACCCATTTTAAATCTTGTAGCATACTGCTCTTGTTGCTCTGGATTCAAATTCAACTGAATCTTAGGGAGCTGATTTTACAACATATTTAAGTGTGTTTAAGAATATCAGAGGCAGATCTTTTGGGTCGTCCATGCTAGAAGTCTATGTGGCCCTGTGATGGACTTGGTGATCTTAGAGTGTGCCCTATCCCTGCGACCCTACTTGAAATAAGCGGGTATGGCAAATGGTTTAAACTGTATTTCTGGGGTTTTAAGGTTTCTATTCATACATCTTTTTAAAAAGTTACTGTTTTCCATGATATGCGTTTTTGTGGACAGTGAGTGTTTGTGTATTTTTTTTTCTACTGTTTTAAATTTGTCAGAACACTAGTAAGAGATTTTGTTTAGATATTTTTTTCTATATTATTTTGATGATGAACATAGTTGATTAACATAGTTGCCAAACATGGGGGAGATGAGAGCACCGCTTCTGTGAAACTATGCTCCTATCCCTCTTCTGCACCCATCCCAAGGCACAGAATAAACACAAAATAGTCCATGAACCGCACTGTCGGTATTTCTTCACATATAATTTACACATCATACTTTTGAGTATTTCCTGTTTGTTATCTCTGCTTTTGAAATAAAGGAGAGCGGCATTTATTGAAGTAACCAGGGGTTGGAAGGGGGTGTGTTTTGGAGGCAGCCGGCTGGCGTGTGTGCAAGAGGAGGCGTGGCCAAGCCGGAAACGATGAGGTCATTGCAAAAGTAAGAGGGAAGAGGAAGGCGGGCTGGGAGGGGGGAAAGAGCTGGGAGGAGTGGCATTGATTCCGAGATGAGCTCAGCTGCAAAGGCGTGGGCTGCTGTCCTCCCTCCCCCTGCAGCTCCCTGACTCTGCCGGCTTGGCTGCAGCCAGTGTTTTGTTGTGACAGCGGGGGGAATCGGCCTGCCTCGGTAGAATGAACTAGAAAGAAAAAAGGGCAGGAGAGACGCCGGCTCTCGCTGACATGGTGGGAGACTTCTTTTTCTGGAGCTTCTGCTGTCTCAGGCTGTGGAGGAAGGATAAGAAGGTGAGGCTGATGGCACTCTCGCTTCCCGGGTATCTTCAGGGTGATGAGCTGTATTCATGAGCCGGTGAGGGCACAGGCAGAGAGGCTGTGGAGATGGGCTTGCCTGTTTCTGTCCATCACTTCTCTTTAATTCGACAACTACAGTTGGCGCCCGATGCTGTGGCTTGTGGTTTTTTTCTGAACTGGGTCAGTGGGTCTCTTTTATTTTTTTAATTAGAGGTCCGCTGCTCCTTTTTTCTACCGTCCTGCGCTCTATTTTCTCATGGCATGAAAAACTGATAAGATGTGGCGCGTCTGCTATTTTTAGAAAACATTCTGTAAGATAACTGGGATAACAAGGGAATTCAATGTATGAGTACATTAAGGGGAAAGATTATTTTAGCTAACCACACGCTGCTCGCAGACCACACTAACCGGTTTCCTCATTTTGCCACAGATGGCTTGAGATTTGCAGGGGCTGTGCACAGCTTAACAGCGTTTCTTAGGTTGAAGCCGGTGTATGTGTGGTAGAGTACTGTTTGTGGCAGAAGGGGCTTTCCATTCAGAGTGCATCAATGTGGCCTACTGTTTCCTACTTTAGTCCATTCATTCCAATTGCATTTCCCCAAATGATATCCACTGTAGCACGAAAGCCTCCTCGTCCTCCCTTTATTTTTGCCTGTATAGCAGCATTTCTGAATCATTGCGTTTGTGTATTTTCAACTTCATTTTATCTGGCTGTATAGGGATTAGGAGATACAAAATGCATATGTTGCTTAAAGTAAATCCTTAAAACATTCATATGAAGGGATTTACTATCACATATGCAGCTACATGAAGTTGCTCCCATGTTTAGTGTGTCTGAGATTAACTAGGGAATGAGCACAGTGTATTGCATCAAGCATAAGATTATGGAAATATAACAACCCCATAATTTGTTGAGGCCGTTCATTAGATGGTTCGCAGTGAGTTTGGACAACAGAATGCACTGAAACCAGTGCGCCCCTTTTATTCACAAATGGTGTGTATAAATTCAGGCAATATTGGAGGAAAAAAACTTTTTAAAAAACTCCCTACCACATATCATAAGCAAAAACTGATGGAAACTGTGAAGTGGTATGATAAAATGTGAAATAACTGGTTAGGCGTTTCGAAGAGGAAGCAAAACTTGACAAATGTAAATAGAAACCAAGGAGCAGAGACTCACTTGACTGGAAAACTGCATAGACTTAAAGAAAAGCCATAACATAATCAGTATGTTTGTTGCATGTTTTTTTTCAATTATTTAGGACCAGCTATCATTACAGATCCTCCTCAATAACTAACATTGGTCGTTCTGACATTATTGTGCCTATAGGTGGGATTAAACAGACTTCTGTTCAGGAAAAGTCAACAGGGATGAGGTGTCAAGGCAATCTGATTTACCACTGACATGCCTTTTAGTTGTTTAGATAAGAGCAATAGAGTGTCATAAATTTCCTCAAAACGGTGTCTTAACTTATTTTCACATTCCACAGCTGACTTGAAGTAACTCATACATAAATCACTGGAAACAAAATCAGGTTCAGCAGCCATGACAGGCGAGGCCTACCATGTCTGTGGCTGACTGTTGGAGGTAATTAGAAAAAGATGTTGGCCTTTTAGTGCAGTTTCTCTCTTTTTTCTATCATTGATAACATAGATTGAGGTGATTGGTAATTAACAGCACCTCTGTGTTTTATGAAATGTCGATTGAAGGCTGTATAACATTTGTAATCTCTTACGAAATGAAGGTTGAAATGCTTCATCGATATGTGTTCTTTATATCATATCCCTTTTTAGGTTGAAATATGTACGGAAGTATCTTAATATTGTGCTGTAACTTTACCAAATTTGCGCATGCATCTCTGGAGGCTGTGGGCCTCCAGAGATAATTAAACTTTGCTTCATAATTACTTAAAATGAAACCACGTAATCTTCAACAGGATGATGAGTTCATTAAAATCGATTTAGGTCACATGTAACTGGCTTGAAGACGTACACCCACTGGCCCCATGACAAGATAAGAAGAAGAAACAGTAGTACTTAAGTAATGTTTCTTTACTTATGGGCGTTGTTGGTCAAATCGCAGATTTTACATTCAGAGATTATTTGCTTCATTGCAAAATTGTTTAATTTACCCTGTACACATTTAAATAAACACTTTGGAGAGAAGGCATTAATGTGGGGGCAGCAGCTGTCTTCCGTCACATGTGGTCCTAAAGTGGTTCTGTGCACGTGTGTGTGCCTGCTGGGCAAGCAAATGGCCGTCATAATGTCAGGCCCTACACAGCCAGTCACCCTTTAGGTCTCTGTCCAGCTGTCTTCTCTTCCTGTCACCTTCCATTTGAAGGGTAGCGCCCAAAGTTACACCCAGAGAAGAAATCAGCAGCCATCCGGACAAAAGGAACGATAAATCCTTAAAATTATGTCTTAATGAAGTTTGTCTCTCCTTTTAATTTGAACTCTTTTATGACGCAGCAAGTAAAGAAGTTCAGTTGGTCAAAATGTTAGTCAAATGTCTGCTTTGTTCTCCTGTACATTAAACAGCTCTTTTAGCTTTTTTTCCTTTTGACTGTCTGTCATTCTCTTTCATTATACTAAAACTAACCAAGTCTTTTTCTTTCGATACCCACAAAGCCAAAGATATTGTTTGGATATTATTGTGTGAAATAAAATAGAAGGCAACTTTTTATGTTCATTCTTTCATTCTCCACTCATAGGAACTGAATTATGTAGCTTGGAACTGATAAACATGGCAGGGTCTTACTCTTAACAGCTTGAGGGGTTCAAAATGTTTGCGTGCACTTGTGGGTTAACTGCTACTCTCTCAGGAGGGTGGGGCTACACACAGGGATTTCTTTTTATGTGTGTCCTTGATGTTGTTGAGAAAAACTCCATGGGCCACTTCCCTGAAAATCTTTCTACCACTCAAAGCAAAAAACGAAAGTATAATTACAGCCCCTGTGCAGTAAACAGCTGTGGGTGGCTCAAACGTTAGTCCCTAACATTATTGCTCATGTTTATTCCTGTTCAAATATGAATTATTTGTGTGGATGGAGTTTTTACATCCACATGATGTGAATTGATCATAGCATGTAAGGTGGGGGTCGCTTAATCAATTGATGCAATCAATGAGAGTCATAAATAGGAAACATGTCGATTTCATGGGCTACATTACAAGTGTCTGAAAAATAAACAGAACTGAAACCACCAACAGAGCATCATCCTCAGATCTGACAGTGTGAATTATCTGCTCACTCCCTTTTTCTGTTTGGGCCATAATTCAATTCCACCTCTTGTTTGCAAAACTGCCCCAAGCTATAAAGGACATCTGGCTGCAGCAAATTCAATCTCTTGTATCCTGGCCCACGCTGACCAGACCTCACCCTGCTCCCCCAGACCAGCCATAAAAAACCCCATGATGCCTGTTGCTGCACACGCACGAAAACCACGGCTTTCCATTTTGGTCCTCAAGCGAATACTCATTAGATTCGAGATCAACGTAGCTAACATCATAATATGTCGAGTACATTGTTGAGAAACAAACAAACAATGTTTATTAAAATATGTTTTGGTTGCTTTTTTGTCTTTTTTTTATCACAGGTTGCAGGAGAACAAAAGTATCACCCCGAATGCTTCAGCTGCCTGAACTGCCGGGCGTTCATTGGTGATGGAGACACGTATGCTCTGGTTGAGAGATCCAAACTCTACTGGTGAGTATCCCCATAGTCACTGTTACAGTTTAAATCATTTCCTGGAAAAATACTTTGACTTCCCTGTCACTTGTTTTCATGCATTTTGTTGCAAATCTGGTTCTCTCATAACATAATGATAAAGAATGATTGTATTGTACACTGAACTGCATTTTTTTGTGCCAGAGGATGTTTTTTCTTCATTGGCGTAGCAATGGCAGCTCATCATGAATCATGTTAATCTGTCCTGAGTACTTCACTGTACTATGGTGATAACACATAGGGGAGTTATAGTTTGAGTGTCACATTGCATACTTCTTGTGCGCTTGTCCTTTACTGACAGAGCTGCAGGGTTGTGTTAGTGTGACTGCCACAAGCCAAGGGCCTTTGAAAACAGAAAACCGGGTGTCAAGAAGCCTCAGTAAGATAGATATGCTAAGCACAAAAGCTTTAGGCAGTTTACATTTGTTGGTTTTTTTGTTCTATCAGGAGGGTATCTCATCATACAACTGGAGTTTTCAGATAGTTATATTTTTATATTTTTAGATAGCTAGTCACAAGCAAGGAGCATCGGCCTTCAGCAGACATACTGACTCCCACATACATCTGATGTCATGAAGTCAATCCAGGACAACTGGATCACTGAAACTGAATCCTAACAAGAATTGTAAATTAGTTTGTGCC